CTGTGTTTAGTGTAGTTGAAATTGAGGTGCCCAAGACCAGTTGGCCGGAAGACGAGAACAGACCAAAGCAAGCGAAACTATTAACAATTCTACTTGCTCTCCCGCATAAGCAAAGGTTCCTCCCTTATCCCTGCTTGAGGAAAAAGCGCCGCGTAAATTGATAGTTTGGGTGTTTCTGGTCATTGATAGTTCGGTGTTCAAGAAGAGCGTTTTTTTGAAATTTGTGTACTTCCTCAATTTGTTTATTTTGGCCACCCAATTGCTTGACATGCTTCCTTTTCAATGAAAAATCGACCTCTATTTTACATCTGATTTTGTTATGTACACCCTACGTAGAGTAGGTAAGGTAAGCTTGTAATTGATCACAGTTTGCAGAGTAAGGCAAATACTAACTCATGGTAGACAACTTGTTGCTTATGAGAATGATCCTAAACATAGAAGCTAACAATATTTCGAGCACTCACTTAGGGTAATGCTGTAATGCATGGCTACGCGAACTAGCCCTTGAACTTCGAAAATAATGGGTGAACTGTTTCGGCACCACCATTCTTGCGAAAATTGGTCTCTAACTACAGAAATTACCTCGTCACATAGTAAAAAATGTAAAAATAATAATGGAATTGTGCTTAAATTAAATTCAATGACAAAGTTACTATGTCACAGGCAATTATGACTTTATTTGTTTATTTAGTTGTTTATTTATTTATTGCACTCAAGGTTCTCCCAGCTACGGAACAAAAGAAGTGAAGTCGGAAAAAAATAATCTTAAATTGCAACTACATAATTTAGACCGACAATACCATGACCAAGACGGAGTAAGAGAATATTATGTGTAACTGCAAAAATGCTGTGGGCAAACTCTGCCCACTTTCGTCTCTTTTCATCGACGATATCAAATGTAAGAACAAGATGAACGATGGAGCTGATGACCAAGAGCTGTTATAAAACATCTCAAGGCAAATATCACTAGATCAATACGTATGATCTAATCATGATACTAGAAATTGTCTTAGTATAGAAAAAGTCTTTTCACCCTCTCTTAACAACTTTATGTTGTCAACTGCTTCTGATAGAAAGCAGCCTTGTTATAGTGTGATTCAGAACGATAGGGAGTTTTATTATTCTCTCAGCGCAAAAATAGATTTTTTGTGGCCAAGTTTTATAGGTATATCAAGACCTTAAAATAGTTATCCGATTTTGTAGAGAGACCAGTCTTGCCTATAAGAACCAAGGCAAATCTGTAGCCGAAATTGGACATACAGTATTCATTCATAATGAATCCAAAAGTCATTGCACGAAGAAGAGTCCAATAAAGCGTTTATTCTCCTTGCTCAAGCACTCTGAGGTTTGCAAGTAATGACTCATTGGTGAGCAATCAAGTAAAATTGTAGAGCATGTTTATCTTCGTATTTCCAAGATCAAGGAATATCAATATCAAAATACCGAAAATTAGAACAAAGTTGTTTTAGACCACATATGCAGCCATCTCAACACCGAGTGTGGTTAAACAGATAGCAAATGAGATACTGATGACAAAGAAAAGCTTAAGTTGGAGGAGTAAATTATTTTCGAAGTTTTTATTTTGCGAAGAGGGGGAGGGGTGTGATTTAAAGAGGTAAAATGCTTAAGTAGTTATTTAATTCACTGCACTAATTCATTAATTCTATTCAGCTATTTACAGAAAAAAAGTAGTAACAAAAATTGATACAAGCACAATATGAAGTTTGCTTACTTAGACTTACTCGTATACAGTAACTACTAGCATTCCTTGCTCCTATTCTGAAATTGGCTCCAGCGCGACGGCGCTCACTGCCATGTTTTGAGAGTGATATACTTACTTACTTACTTAGATACTTAGATGGCCTGTCTTCACCTGTCGTGCAGGCCACAGCACTGTTTCCATC